TTATTCATTCCTTTAAGCTCACAATCAACACACTAACAAGATAGAGAATTGTACTACTTATATTCATAAGTATGGAATATCAAACAACAAGCATGGATTGTCCTCACATTTAAGAAAGTAAACCAACTACACTACTTCTAAGTTAAGGACATGAAAATTAAACTAATTAAACTAAGGTAGAGACACAATCCATCAAGAAATGAGTATGAACCATCAAATAAACCACAAGAGTATTCTATTTAAGCACTATGCTTTGACAATCTCTAGATTCATAGCATCAATACACATAAACATGCATCAATATCACAAAAACTAAGAGATAAATACATGAACATCTACTCTAGCGTTCATAGATATATGGATAGAATGAAATGATCAATTGGAAGTATTAATCAACACAAATTATTGTAAGAACAAAATTCATATATAAATCAAGTGTCAAGACAACATTACAACACAAATCCCCTCCAAATACAAAGCACTAAGGTCTAGAAGGCATGCTTAAGGCTAACTTTAGCCCCAAAAAGATGTTTAGCCACTCATTGATGTAGTCATGCAACCCTCAAGTGCCACCTCCATGGTAGAAATGCTCTTGTTCTTGATGGAAACCCTAGAAGAATGGAAGAACTCCCAAAATAGTGTATGTCTCTCTAAGCTCTAGCCTTCTCTCTAAGATATATAATATGAGATATATTATGATATCTAAGTTATGGTGAGATATGAGTTATGATGTAAAAATGGCTCAAAATCCTAATATAGGAGGCTCAAGTGTCACACCCAATGGTCAGGTCTCGTGCAATAGGGTCCCTTCAATGATTGCACCACGAGCTATCTTTTAATGAGCTGGACTCTGTTTTAATTTGGACTTGAAGGGGTTCGATCGATCGAATTCAGGTGAGATTGATCGAACTGTGGCCAGATCCATCGAAGTTAGGCCAGATCGATCAATCATTAACGGCGCCTTTTTAGAATACGACAAATCTCTGAGATATTTTGGGATATTTTGGAAAAAAGACAAAAGTGGTAGATGAGGATAAGATCAAGGAAGTTCGATTGATCTGAAGGAATTTAGATCGATCGAAGATGGAAATTCTTTGAGGATAAAGACAAGGGTCTGATCCATCTTGGTGAGGTGAGATCGATCAATGTGAGATCAATCGAAAATATTCCTGATCGATCGAAATTTGCTGATTTCCACCACTTTGCTTCCACTTTGCTCCATTCTTCCATTCAGCTTGAGATTGCTTCTTTTATGTTCTAATTTGGTTAAATTGACTTATTTTGGGGATAAGCACCTAAAAAAGACAATAACATGAAATTAGTTTAAAATGGGAAAGTAAGATAGATAAAGGTCCTAGAATACTCAAGTTTAAGGGGTTTAAATGCGCATTTTTCAGCGCTCATCATTATCTTTGGTTTTGTATCATCAAAAACCACATTTATAGAGTCCATGACTACTTTGGTTCTAAGATTAAAAACCCTATAAGCCCGACTTATTTGTAAATAACCTAAAAACACACCTTCATCACTTCTAGAGTCAAATTTTCCCAAGTGTTCCCTATCTCTAAGGATATAACATTTACTTCTAAAGACTCTAAAGTACTTAACAGTGGGCTTTCTATTATACCATAATTCATATGAAGTCTTGTTAGTTCCAGGCCTAAGATAAACTTTATTTAGGATATGACAAGCAATACGTACTGACTCAGCCTAAAAATGACTTGCAATACTATTCTCATGAAGCATAGTACGTGCCATACCTGTAATTGTCCTATTTTTCCTTTCCACTGCACCATTCTGTTGTGGTGTTTTAGGTACTGAAAATTCATGCTTAATGCCATTCTTATCACAATATTCGATAAACTCCTTAGGTTCGAATTCACCTCCATTGTCGCTCCTAATTCGATTAATTCGATATCCCTTCTCATTTTGGATAAGTTGGCAAATAGACCTGAAATTCACAAAAGTATCAGATTTTTCTCTCAAATATGGAATAAAAGTAAATCTAGAGATATTATCAACCATAACAAGCAAATATCTTTTTCCTCCAATGCTATCAGGTGTTATGCGACCCATCAAATTCATATGAATTAATTCTAAAGGTCTAAAAGTGACTTTATGAATAAGTCTTTTATGTGACACTCTAGTTTGTTTTCCTAACTAACATGGACCACATATTTCATTCTTAGGCATCTTCAATTTAGTCAAACCTTGAACAAGATCATTGTTAGACAAATTCACTAAATCATTATAATTCACATGTCCAAGTCTTTTATGCCATAAAACAGCCTCATCAGTAACTGCAGAAAAACATATTGGTGAAGGATCTGAAAACATAACATAGCAATTATCAGAAGTTCTAGTTCCTTTCAAGATGTATTCACCTTTTTCATTAGTTACAAAACACCCTTGTTAAGTAAATTTGACTTGAAATTTTTCATCACAGATTTGACTAATACTCAACAGATTAGTAGCTAAACCTTTAACATATAAAACATTTTTTAACTCCCCAATTCCTGAAAATTTGATCTTACCTTTACCACTTACAGTAGAAGCTTTACCATCACCAAAAGTAACAGTACCAACTGAGCATTCCGAAAAAGTGGTAAACAATGTTCTATCCTCTGTCATATGCCTAGAGTAACCACTATCAAAATACCAACCACATGGACCAAGTGTTCTAAGTGTAGTGTGCATGGCAAGACACTTAAAATTCTCTTTCTTTACCCAAACAATTTTAGATTCATATGTAATGATTTCCTTATTGTTCTAGGCAAAGTGTCAGAAGGCTCAACAGTCCTAATCCTCTTCTTCCTTAAATTTGAACTTTCTAGATTTTTCAAATTCTTTCCTAGTTTAATTTTTCTTTTTTGGCACTTATACTTGATATGCCCTTTTTCACCACAAAAATGACATGTTGAAATAAGTTTAGGAGAATTAGAATTAACATGAGGTTTGGTTTCAACTTTCACAAAAACATCTTTCGATTTTTGAAAATACAAATCCTTTGAAATTGATGCCAAATCTTTATTACTCATAACATTCCCAACCACTCCTTTCAATTTATCAATTTTGCAAGTGTCAATATCAATTTTTTGAAAAGACTATTTTGATTTAACAAATTCACTACTCAAATTATCAATTTTAAGTTCCAGTGATTTATTAAACAAATTTACTTTCTTAGGTTCCTTTTCCAGAAAATCAATTTTATGAAAAAGATTCAAATTCTTATGGCCAATTTTTTCCAAATTTTTATTAGAGACAGAAATTTCGAACTTATAAATATCCCTATCAAGTTCCGCATGATTCAATTTCTCTAACAAAATTTTAAAATCCTTTTTGAACTTAGACCACTCAATTTACATGCTTGTGACAGAATCAAAAACAGAAATTAAAGGCAACACATCAACAAATGAATTTTCAGACATGATGCAAATATCAACAATTAATCAACAACTATGATCTACTCTGTATATCGAGTGCTCTAATGCCAAATTGTGAAAATAAGAGTTACGCGGGGTGCGGAAACAATTAGTTGATTTTAATTGTGATTAACTTTTTTAATGACCTAGATCTGACTATTAGGTCAACTTGCTCAATTTATAATTGATTAAATTGTATAATCAATTAAACATCCACAATCATAAATATAAATACTGAAAAGTAAAACAAGTTAAGTTTAGAGAGATTGCACCATGATTTTTAGCGAGGAAACCCTAGTTGATAAAATACGTCAACAGTTTGTATGAGAAAAATCTCGTGGACTATGCAGTCCAAAGTAAACCAAATCCACTATGTTTGAAACAAAGTATACCGAACTTTGACTCTGGCTCACACCCTATCGCTTTACCCAACACCAACGGCTGACGATCCTCTGGCTTTGCAACTCCTCATCCAACAACAACTTGACCTTAGGCTTACACTTGATATTCGTAGAAGAGTAGCAGGTATCAGACATCACTCCACGAATGCTCCAACCCTTCCAAAGTGTGACTGCGTTTACTTCTGTTCTTCAAGATCTGAACTTGATTGTAGAAGAATTAAATCCTGCTGATCATCCGGAATCTCTAAATTTTTAATATAGCTCCAATTCCGATGACATAGAGAACAACACAACTAAATCACTCATGAATATATATGTGTACTCTCAACAATAAACCTAGAATAATCAGATTTCATTTTCTGAATTTTTCTCTCTCTAAAGGCTTTCTCAAAATATAGAATTGATTTTCCCTAAAGCCATTAATAAACCAATGTATATGACATGGTTTATATAAAATTTTTAAAATCCTAATCCCTCAGAAAATATGATAAATTTCGTACATAGGACTTGGAAAGAAGTTGGGATAAAAAATGAAACATCAGAAGAAGGAAACTTGAAAACCTGATGCATTCAGGACTTCTTGAGCCGGATCAAGATGGCCAGTAAAGAATCCCACGAATTCTTGAACCGGTTCAGCCCTCTTGAACCGGTTCAAGATGGTCAGTCTTGAAATTTTGGCAATTCTGATGATGTTGAACCTGTTCGATAAATCTTGAACCAGTTCAAGATGGACAGAATGTAAAAACTTATTCCGAACCTTTCAAAACCCTTCCTAAATGTTTTCACTACCTCTTAAAACTTCTTAGAGCATTTTTCTCATTATCTCGGAGTATAGTATATCATGAACACTTGAACTTCTTTAAATCTGCATCCGATCTTCAATCTTGAAATTGTTGAACCGAAAACTTACAACTCGATCGGACTTATTTTGATAATGAAATTAGCTATCTCACAAACAGTACAAGGGCATAACCCTAAGATTTACAAGACAAGCCCAAATGCAACCAAAACAGCTAGGCTATAATGTGAACTATTATGGTGCAATCATACCATCACTAATGCACCGGATCCCATTAGAACAGTTAAGCGTGCTTGAACGAGAGTAGTAGAAGGATGGGTGACCCTTGGGAAGTCCTCGTGTTGCAACCCCTTAAAAAAACCTTTTTTTTTTTTTAAAAAAAGCCAACACAGCCATACAAAACGACCTACAACCGAAAACAGCATTTCTGCATAGCAAAACCTCTAAAAGAGCAACACGGTAAACCAAAAAAACCAACACCTGAACAGAGCACTTTCCGAACAAGGAGGAAGGACAATCAAGTGTTAGTCAGCACTCAAAATTAGGAAGAATCCCAAAACACAGATGACAACCAGGAGCTGCAAAGAGGCACTAGTTCAGGTGTGACATTAATGGTTGGTTCAACTTGAGCCAGAGACCATCACGATTCGCTGACTAAACCAGTGTTCACTCTGTGATCTAAACGACCTGAATCCCGACAAGTGACTACTGTCGGCAAGAGGGCTTCAATGTGAAGGCAAAATCACCTAACCTTTTGAGGGCGATCCTGATGAAGAATTGTTCTACCAAGATCAATTATGTTTGCAATTGTCTTAGCAGAACAACCCAGATGGATTGGCTTCTGAAATCAAACTTGTAGTAGACATCTTTTTGCAGATATAGAAAATATGCTGGCTATAGAAAACAAATCAAGCCCTAGAGATCTTTTTGCAGCAAATCAATTCCAACTGTGTTTTTTTATATATTGAAGAGTCAGATTGTCAGCCCCAGTGAATAAATACTGTGTCATTCTATGGAACAAAAATGATCTAGATAGAAACCCATTTTTGTTCTTTGTTTAAATAGGCAACATTACAGACCTACATTGTACATAAACTATTTTAGCAATTCTTTCCAGAATAAGACGATTTATATCTGTATTGATCTCAGTGTGAAGAAGATAATCATATTCTGAGAAGATATTTCAATCTTGCTGAAGAATTTCTTGCAATCACTTCCTGCTGAAAGAACTACGTACTTTTTCTTCTTCTTGATATAATGCCCTTCCTAACAAAGAATTTTTGTGCCATCACAAGAATTGATGTGTTATTGTTTGAGTACCGGGTTTCTTTCAAAAAAGTTTGCTGGCCGGAGCTCAAATCCACCATACAAGGTCGGCATCACCGGAAAATCTTCTTGGCTCGGAATGTGATGGAAACCCACAGTATACCATACAACTATGTCCTTGTTATCGATTGGTCTGTTCCTGCACGAACCCAGAAGGCAAGAGTCTCATTATCTCTGGTGTTTTTTTTTTATTTTTTTTATTTTTTTCCTTCTGGTAAGAAAGATTTATATTAAAAGGAACCGTACAAGTTGTTAGTTTGAAAAGCTTGAACTTAACTAATGGTCAAAGAAAGGAATGTTCACCGACACACAAAGGTTGAGTTAGGTTGCATAATCATATACTTGGCAATGTGTACTATATATATATATATATATATATAGAAATATATTCATATTTACCTGCGGCTCCAAACAGCCAAGCCATCCTCTCCTCTGCTCCTATCTGCATAAAAGCCTCCAGCCCACCTTTCTGACTTGTTATAGGCAGTCACCCAAACTTGGTACTTGGTGTAGGCTGCACGGATCTGTGGGTAATCATCATCGGACAGCAGGGAAGTAGCCGGTTGTCCGGTGATCAACCGGTAACCCACATGATTCCCAACCTTTGTCCTCATATTAGGATTCACAACTAACAGCTCGCCTTGCTCCATGCCGAGCTGAATCCTAGCCTTGGCTTCTGTTTTTGCCGTCTCCGTAACCACCATCCAATAACTCTTTCTTGGTGTGCCTGTGTTAATGTATGCTGCCCTCACCTGTTTCAACTTGTCTCTGACAAATGAGTTTTCATTGCCATCAATGTCGAGATCCAGATAGTAGGTCAGGAAGTGATCATGGTTGATAGCAATGGTGTTATCAGCAACAAAAGTACCATAAATGTCCTCATGAACAACTTGGTCCTGGTTGGCATACGACGTGGCCTTCATCTCTAGTACACCTGTGAGACTCACCTGTTGGTATAGTATGTAATGTAGGTCAAAATGAGCTTTTAAACATCAAAAGTTAATAACAAAAAAAATGTTTCCAAGTGAAACACCTACCCCAACTTTGATGGAGCCACTTTGCTTGAACTCCCAATCTAGAACATAGTCATAATTTCCAACTGTAGCAACCATCCTAACCACCAAATTAACTTCTGTCTCTCCACTTATTATCTGTAAAGCGAACTTATTCATATTAACATTACATATAATTCTATACTGTATTGTAAGCCATTTATACACTGCTAAACAATCTTACCACTTTTCCGGGAACACCAATCTCAGTATGTCTCCATGCAACATCACCAGAATATCGCTCGAAAATGCAGATCGATCTGGGAACCTTTTGTGGCTGTCCATCTGATCCGGCCATGTACCCGTCCATGTACACTGCATTAGCCGGGCAGTCAATCTGCCGCACAAGGGTGTTAGCTGACCGCCCAAACCCAAATTCACCGATGTCCATGTAGGTCCTGAAGTACCATTCATTTGTAGGATCCATATATGGCACAAACGTTTCAGATACATGTCCTCTGTAGAGCACACGCCGAAACTTTTTTCTTCCGGCATCAGATACCGAAGCTGTGGATATTATCATCCCTGCCCGAGCATTGAACGCTACATGGAACATCCAATTAGCCCATCTAACCTCATGGCCTTCAATGGTGATCCCGATGTATGTTCTATTGCAAGGGTCAGGATCAGGCCTCTGCCCGGATGACTGGAAATCGGTACCCTCAGCTCTAGGCAAATGAGATTTAAATCTATCTGTGTACACCACAATTTGCATAGATTCAACATCAACTATAATACTTATCCCTTCAATAGGCCTTGAAAAGACATTAGTTGTTCCTCCGCGGTAAAAGCATAGAACTTTAACAGCTCTTTTTGAAACAAGTTCTCCAAACCAACCAACTGTGAATGACAAGCAAGTGACTTCAGACAAATTCAAGCCCCTTCTGGAAATTGAATCTTTGAACTGTGTATAATTCAAAGGAAGTCTGCTGGCTTGAAAGAACTCGGTAAAAGTGGTTGGAGGGTAACCATGGCCAGTGTAGACATGGTCAGACGTGATCGAACTAGTGGATAAATCCACAACGATTTCACGAGTCTCACCTCTAGCTCGAACCACGACCTTGGCTCTACGGTAAGGAAAAGGATTGCCATTTTGTTTCTTTGAAGACATCCACTCGAGAACATCACTTTTTTCTGGCTCTTCAAGATCAACAAAATGAAAGGTTAGGTTGGGAATACTACTAAGGTGAGACTTTTGAATAATTTGCCTTACTTGGTTTATTTCAGTAGGGTTGAGAGGGTCTAGTGGGTGATTGAGGCTAGCTGTGAAATAGCATTGGAGAACAATAGCTAGAGCTAACAAGTGAATAGTCATGGACAATGTTTTATCAAAAGGTTGGTTGAAATGTGGTGTTCAAAACACTAAATGGCACCATCCATATACATATACATATACATATACATATTCATAAATATATATGGAGAAACTTATAGTTGTATTTGATAGTAACTAATTTATAAATGTCTGCACCTAAATTGTGGACCATGTGAGAGTAACAGGTTGGCTTTCCTTTATAAGGAGGCAAAGCACTGTCTAACGCAATTAATATTTTGGGCTAGCACTTTGTAAGACTCTTGCTTGCTTTGTGGGTTAAGAATACTCCATTTCCTTTGCTTTTCTTTACTCTAATGAAGACCATGTTATTCTTAAAGCTCTTCTCTGTTCCACTTGTAAGTTTGAACAGTTCCTTACCAATCAAGGTTCTGGTGAGATTGAGTAATGATCCTAAGCATCTAGACATGTGAAAGTAAACTAAAGTCAATTCCAAACACGTTGGTGTTGTTTGCCACGAAAAAGAGTGGAAAACGCTGAAATGTATAAGAATTATTGGTTGTAAGTTTGTTTTTTATTTATTTATTTATTTATTTTTTATTTTAGGACAAAAATCCATATACCCACTTTGCCCCTATAGGATCATGACTCAATCTCACAGTCAACTTATTAACTTGATTTGTATTGAACTATCCAACCTTACAGGTGGAAAATTAGGCTAAGAGGTTGGCCCAATTTCTCCACCTTAAAGTCTGTTTTGAAAAAACAAAATTAGGCAGAACATGACATGGAAGAATTTTCAATATTCATTCTCGAGCAGGAAACGAATTCAATACCCAATACATCTACCCCCCAACTTAAAAGTCTATTTTGAAAAAAACAAAATTAGCTGACTAATAAGGCACCCGGTGTTCCCATGGTGAGTCGACTGGCTATCTGCGATGCGACTCAACCAGTCACCCTGGCCGCTGGACCGTGGATGGAGTTTGCAGGACTTATTGGTAAGGAATGCAAGTTTTCGGTGCTTCTCTAGGGAGGTAGTCGATTCCGATTATGGGGAATCACAGACAACGTCTTCATCTTTGCCATCCTGGTATCCAGAGTTCCAAACTTGTTCTCAACGCTTTTCTGGGGACATCTGGATTGCGAAGTCCGTCAACTACATATCTCTTAACACTTTTTCCTCTCAATTATTCCTGAGTATAAGCACAATATGTCTAATTAATAGCTCCTGTTAGATCATCAACATCATCTCCGACTCTTGGGACACAAATCAACTAGATACAAAATCTAGAAAGTCAAAGAAATTTAGGGGAAAGACCAATCCATTGTTTACAACAATAATAGTACATTCACCAAGCCACACTTATTCTGGAACAATTAGGCCACTCGATATCTTTGGGAAGCTTTACTTTGAGCACCAGATTGTATTAAAAAAAAATTGGTTGGTTGGAGTTCAGACCCGTTATTCAGTGTTGGCATCAGCTGAACGTGACGAAGTCCTTGTCTTCTCTCTCTCCGTTCCTGCATTATTGGTTAACACCTAATTAGCAACCTAAACCCTTAGATATGATTATCAAAATGAGAAGGTCAAAATATCGAATACCTGAGGCTCCATTCAGCTAAGTTGTAATCATCTTAGCTCTGATCACTATATGATCTCCCTGCCCATTTCTCAGACCCACACATTGTACCTAGTGAAGGCTCCATAGATTTGCGGGAAATCATAGGGTACCCCGCCATGGATAGTGGGACCAGACAGTAGCTAACATGGTCCCCACCTTAATCTTCTCCTTTGGATTCACCACTAACAGTTCAGCCGGCTTCAAGCCGAGCTGAATCCTTATGTTGGACTGAGTCTTGGCTGCCTCAGATATGTTGTCAGTCACACGCATTGTTTGCAAGCAAGTCTTGACAAAGGAGTTTGCAACTCCAACCACATTGAGATCAAGGTGGTAGATAAGAAAATGATCATGATATGCACCCAGAGCGTTCTCTGCTAACAATTTACTAAAGACTTACTCCTGCATCTGGTCTTTGTGGGTATTCTTTGATCTCCTCACTTCCAGCAAACCAGTTAGCCGAACCTGTGAGATTGACATCGAGTTGTATTCGAAGGGCATAATGTCATTAATCATTATGAACAGCACGCCATTACCAATAGGCTAACAAGATCACTCGTGTGTTAATAATGTCTGAGTACCACATTATAATCGACCAATATAGATCACTAGTGCATTAACAATACTTCAAAGCAATGACTCGGTGTTTGATAAACTTTTCTAGTTTCATGATGTACCATGAGTGTGATGGAGCCACATTACTTAAATTTCCAATCAACTATGTAGTCATAGTAACCAAGAGTTGATACCATCCTCACCACCAAGCTCACATCTGGTCTAACCTCTCTTAGCTGCAAAACAGTCCAAAGCTCATTCAAAAACTCCCTCTACTATATGTGAAAGTACTAAAACGAACAGAAAATCCACTTACCACTTTGTCCGGTCCCACATGACATCTTCGGCACAGTGCTTAAATATATAAAATATATTCAAAATTTTCCTGGGTGCCCATTCTGTCAAATGAAGTACGTATCCATCCATGAATATTGCATTTTCTGGACAGTTCCTCAACGGCTCAAGCAGCCCCGTACACAGACCGAACCCATATTCACCAGCATCAAGATACATCCTAAGTCTCTTCAATTAGATCCATATATGGCACAAAGAGCTCCAATACAAGCCCTTTATACAACACTTGACGATATTTATCCTTATCAAGGTCATAGATTGATCCTAAGGATATTATTGGACCTGCTTGCATGTCGAAAACTAGATGGATGTCCCAATTAGCCGACCTAATTATAGTAACACATTAGTACATTATTCAAGAATTGTATAAATCAATATGTGATGTAAGGAAAATAATGTATTTTCCCCTCCTACCATCCCATATATTCGGAACATACATTGGGCGCTGCCCTTATATTTTTGTACATAAGAAAAGAAATTGAGATTATTATGTCTGTAATCTCCAAGAGCACCCGACCAACAAAGGGTACTACAGTCTACAAGGCTCAAGCTCTTTTTGATTTAAGCTCATTAGCCTTTCCTTGCACTCTTCTCAAGCTCACAAGCCTGGAGACAATCAAATGGGGCATGATCAGGCAGGCATTAGATAAAGGTGGCCCCTAAGATCATCATATGTGCTGTAATTTCAATTCTTCACCCATCTAATTATTTTTCCTGTTTTATTAAAATTGGCCTAAAGTTTACTAAAAAAAAATCTGAGTTAGATTGCTAAAACGGCCAAACAAGCTTCCAATCCTCAACTAAATCTCATACATTCTTCAAACCAATCAAAGAATTTCATCCAGACAGCACACACCCATCAAAATCTTTATTTACTTATTTATTTATTTTTTGCTGTTATGTCAAACACCCATCAAAACAACAACAACAACAATGAAGAAAGGCTTTTCCCAATTCGCAAAATCAGACAATCCAAACAAAAATTAAAGAAGATAACAAAAAAGAATATGCATAATGTCAAGCCAGAACAAAATAAGCAAACACCACATAATGGCGGCCTATAAGAGGAATATAATCGAACATAGGAAAGGCACTCACTTTTTCCCATGGTCAATTATATTCACATCTGTACGAACGCACCCCCCACTTCAAATAATATATGCAGACCATTACCTGATTCTATGCCCATTGATAGCTGTCATGATGCCTCCGATCTTCGTCTCGTCAAGATCGGTGGCCTCCTATTCCAACAGAGTAGCACCCACCTACAATTGACAACTCACTTGCAGATGTCCTTCAATGGTGGAAGCCCTAATCTAATTCGTTCTCTCCCTCTCCCTCAACCTCTCTCTGACAGTCTGACGCCCATATTTTTAGAGAGAAACTCGGGTCTCTGGAGAACTGGAAGAAGAAGAAGAGAAGTAGATGCAGAGGAGGAAAGAGAAGACACTTGCAGAAATTAAAAAGAGGAACCTTCCATCCTTCATTTAGGTCTAGAACCACATTTGCATATTCGTTACTCGTTAGGTTCTTCATGTGCAACTCCAATCAGACTATGGATTATAACGATGCACACCGTTTTAATGCTTTTGGGTTTTTTTTTTTTTGGTCGTAAGCCATTAAAAAATATACTATGAGGAAACAGAAGGAAGAGATGCTAAAAGTCTGGTTGGCCACAACTCCCAAGCAAGGTCACCTCGATTATATTTAAGAGCTCACTACCTTATTTCATGAGATACCATGTCACAACTTCTAGAAATCCAGTTCAATGAAAAGTTAGTTTCATTAGAATCATCAGAAACCATTTTAACTATATCTTCGATCACAATTGCCGCCGAGGAGGAATCTGGAGGGGAAAGGGACATAATATTTTTGTCTCAGATTTGATACCTTAAATCTTTAAATGTGGGTCTGAATTCGGTTTTTTTATTTTTATTTTTATTTTTATTTTTATTTTTATTTTTTATTTTTTAGGTAAAGGTTGACCCAGGGAAATTAACCTGCATCTCTAACTTGGCATAAAATAAAGAAATTCTCTACTCTCTCTCTCTCACACACACACATTTTTTTCCAGCAAGTTCAGTCCTTTCTGGCTTAGGGTTTTCAAGTGATAAAAGCCTGAGACAAAAAGGGAAGGGGAGAGAATTAAAATTTGATTGGGATTCAATTAGATTTAACCCGGATAGCTTTCAAATTATTTATATTTTTATTATTTTAAATGTAGTAACACTTGTTACTCTACTCTTGTGCCAAAGGGTAAGTATTGACTTCCTACTCCCCGCAAGTATTGTTCTTAAATAAAGGGTAATTTATACAGATTTCCCCTATGGTTTGCCATAATTACACGGACCTCCCCTGTAGTTTGGGAATTTACTCAGACCTCCCTTAAAAATTAAACTATCCTACACATACTTCTCTTCTGTTAGAGTCAACGTCAATCAATATATCAATATAGTAATATATATATATATATATATATATATATATATATACATATATTACTGGACCATTTTCCCTCCTTCACCGACGGTATCTCCACCAAGGACATCCACATTGACCTCTTCACCTTTCTCCATCCGAATCTTCTTCTCGATTCGTGTTTAGTCTCGCTCGATTCAGATTCTAATTCGAA